TTCGTGAGTCATTCGCCAGCACAGAGGAGCTCGACTGTGTGTGAGAGAGAGAGATGGCACGGGAAGACAGAAGCAAGTGGAGAGGAGAGTGAGGGCTTCCTCTGCAGCCCTTTTCTCATGCATGAGGAAAGGGGCAATATGAGTGACATTTCTAAAGAATGACAGCTCATACGGAGAGAGATTATTCTTTTAAGCCAACCGAATGATCACCCTATCGGGCCTGGATCACCTCCTGAAACAAAATAGAGGGATTGTAAAGCCTCCAATACTTAAACGTGAGGCCTGGCATGCAAATGAGAAACATAATGGATCCTCGAGAGATTCGCCGCGTGCATCGACAAGCTGTTCAGCGCTTATGACTGTGATTTGAGCAGAGCTGAGTAGAACTGCTACACTGGAGCTGGTGCGCCTCTGCTCCCAGCAAGCGCCCTGAGACACAGCGATTCCTCGATACAAGAAAGGCACGAACCGCCCAGCGAGACACGCTGTGGGGAAGAAGACGGTGGGCCGTGAATAATTCATTCATTGTGTTTGCGCCAACTTCTAAAAGCTCTGCCATCATCCATATTCCGCACCTTGCTGATTGATGCAACTTTCCGTCCCTGCCCTTGTTGTCTCCCTCCTCGCCTTACATCGCCGTGGACTTTTTTCAGCTGCCTCTCCGTAAAGGTGGAAACGGCATAGCCTTAAACACCGTAATGTGAGTAATTAGCTCGCTACACCCCCTCCCCACCGTGGAGCCGCTTCCCCTCAGAGTCACAATCCGTGTTGCAATAATGAGGCAATGTGGTGATGCTGCAGAATGTTTTTTTCTTCTCCAGTAAGCTTCTTAGAACTGCTCCATGAATACATTGAATCACCAATGTGTCATATGCCGTACTCTGTGAAATACTATACATCTAAAGTGCTTTGATTGGGTCTTCTCCGGCACCCATTTCTTTTGAATGTATGGAAATGATTTTCGCTAACAGTGCAGTGTTTTTGTGGGGCCTGCCAGGGTCATTGGCCGACATATTTGGACTCATGGAGTGAATCTCGGTCAGCACTAATGGATTCTGTTTGCTCTCCGTTCAGCCTGCAAAAGTTCACTCAGAGTTGGACAGCATTGTCGCCACTAACATTTCATTCACTTTATGAAATGCAATAACAATCATTAGCACGTTCACATTTGCCTGTTGTTGTACCCTCGGAGCATTAACAAGAGTAAAATGATTGTTCACTTTACCCATTCATATTTATTAGATGCTTCTGTTCTAGCTGCATCAAGCTTTACTGCCGGGCTGTTTTTTTGGACTGTGGCTGCTCTTCACACCCGACACCTATTTGATGTGTTATGCGCTTACCCACCTGAGGGAAAAGGCCAGAGACTTTAAACATCTTGGTGCTAGTTACGCTTTACCAAAACTTAAACTCAAATGTAGTTTCCTTCCAGTCTTTCATTTCAGAAGTTTGCAAAAGTCAAACCACAATTTCTTTTCTGGTTTTCTATCATCCTCCAGTTCTCATGACTAACAAGCACCTTGTTAACTTGGGCGCCTTCCTCAAATTGATGTTGCTTGAGACCTACAGGATAGTGGCCATGCAGCTGGAGGGCCGTTCCTTGTAAGTCTGAGGCTCTACACCATCTCAGTAAAAGAGGAAAAAAAAAACGAGGGGGATGGATGGTATTTTAGTCAAGATGAGCATGTTCGAAACTAAATGACTTGTGTTGCTCAAAACGCTCAATCGTGGATCAACAAAGTGCTGTGGGAACATTTCCATCTGAGAGTTTTCATACTTTAAAAAGAGTTGGCACTGGGATCCGAGCTGAAAGATGCAAGCGTCCTCTCATAGAGCCAAAGGGAAACAGATCTCCGTGCTAATTCTCCTAAATTGAAAGATTGAATTCTATTACAGCTTGATAAATCGTTCACATAACGATATGAATTAGAGCAGCTCCAAATGCAATGCTGAGAGGATAGTGGGCACACCATACCAATTAAATGCTCTCATGCCAGCAAATCTGCATTCTACAACCATCTCTTGAACATGCCATTCATCTACAGCAAATTGCGTAAGGGGAATGAAACCCAATGCAGACTAAGATTAAATACAGATACTAATACAAGGTCAGATTTGCATCAATGAAGTTCAACTACGGCTCTCAATGTCAAAGTCTTTGCTTTCTATGCCCGACAATCCACCCTGATGTCTTTAATTCAACGTTGTTGGAGTGAAAGATTTCACACTTTCTGGATCAGAAAACATGTTGCCACTGAAGCCACATATTTCCTCCAGAAGAAATGTGGCAAAGAAGGACAGAGAAGAAGGAAAGAGATCGAGCCAAAAACGAAATGCTAAACAAAACTCCAGGGAGCCACTTGGTGGGATTAGCTACGGCTGTTCGCGTTGGTAAAAGGCTTACCATGCCAAACCGATAGCAGCCATTTCCCCGAGGCGTACCCTACAATAACAGCAGGTAAAATAATCCCCTCTGTGGCTGAGTTAAAACACACTGACACTGTGCACATGGTAGCTGCGTTCAGCCCGATTCGATCGATCGATTTTTCACCCGGCAGAAGGAAAACCTCATTTGCTCATCTGCTTGCCTGGGTGGAGGAGGCGCTGTACTCGCCTAATAGGTAAAGGAGTTTTATCGTCGTCCATCTTCCTTCCTGTAATTGTTCACTGCGTCTGCGGAAAATAAGTGGTGATGTAGCTAGATGGCCCAGTGCTGCTTAGGTTATATGATATCACCGGCATCCTGCTACTTCCACTGGAAGTGCTTCACAAATTCTCCATCCTTCACTAAAAGACAAGTGGCTGACAGAGATTCTTTCTGGATTTTTGGTGAGCTAATCTGGTTTTGGACGTCTCTGAATGTTCGTGTTTGCCTAGTCAGCTACTTTTTTCACAGGTTCATGATGATAATCTGTTGGAAAATAACTACTATTATCTGGACTTCCTCATCAGATTTATTATATTTCATCATGATTCTCTCTTTTTTTCCAGTCTACTTTCCCTCTCCACAACACCTCTCTTGTATTCTGTTATCGCCGGGCTTCTATAGATCTTTGGACTTACTAAGGAGTAGTTCCATTTAAGCCCCTGCAGAACTTTGCTTCCATAAAGTCCGAGCATTTACCTCAGAGAGACATTTACAACATATTGAGAGTCAGAGAGGGAGAGAGGCCAGCCTCTTACAAGGACTATCCAACACAGACACGGAGGGAAAGAGGAAGTTCACAGAGAGCACAGCGTTCTCTTGGTAATGTGCGATGTCGCTCCGCTCAGGTTCATTCAGATTGGCCTACGAGTCTGTTTGTGGAGCCACAGTGAACAGATAACGCTGTACGTCTTAAGCTGGCTCACATTTACATGAGGACATCCATCTCCCTGACTGTGGATTTTGTGTGGACAGGAAATAAATCTGTTTCTACCGCAGATAGGAAGCTGTGCAATCCTTTCTGAGCGATGATCTGCGTTACTTCATCAGTTTCAAGTACAGACTGTTCAGACCCAGAGAAACATCCCATTTGCCCTTTTCCATCTTAATTAAATCTTTCTCCTTTGAATGTATTCAGCTACAGATTGCTGCAGTGATGATGTATTTTTGTAAGCCAACCTGGAAGCAGAAAACTCAGACTTCTGTTTCCTCATTATTACAATTAGGAATTTTGGCATAATTGCCTTCATATGTTTGAGATATTAATGAGCTGGTGAATTAACCAAAAACCTACTTTCATTTTCAATCTAATAAAAGGTTGTCATTGCATTTATAGTATATATTATAATATATGAATCACATAAAGTATGTTGTTACTGCGATGTACAATGACATATACCGTAACAGCAGATTTGATCCATATAGCCCATCCCTAATAATGACCACGTCTCATTTGTTTGAGAACTTTAATCCCCTCATGGATGAAACGTTAATCATGTATAAAAAAGAGCACAACTAATGACTTGAAAATAAATGCCCTTTTTCCACATCGTTCCCACAAGTTATACTCAATTTGCATCCTCCAGACTCTAGTGTCTGATTTAATGATTTAAAGCTCTTTTTTTATTCTGGGAGCAGTAACCTTCTAAAAGTATCCCTGTTCCAGTTACCTGCTTGAATCGTATCTTAGTAATAACAATTAAAGAGATCCATTTTAGGGACGTTTATTAAAAAAAAGCAAATAACCTGATTTAGATTAACAAAACTCTAAATCACCTTTATCAAAAACCTGGATTGTGAGTGTAATTCCATTGGGCCAAAGCATACAGACAAGATTCACACACAAAGGCTGTTTGGACCCTGCTAGTTTTATACCCACTTGTTTTGGTTTCTTTTTCTGACAGGGCCGGGACAGAGATACAACAAAAGAACTCTCCTCTTCCCTTGAACCTCAAAAATCTGAACCACAGCAAACATTTCATTCTCAGTGAAAAACAAACAAACCTGCAGTTAAGTTGCCTAAGGCCGGTGCCAAATCCCCCCCCCCCCACGCTATTTAAAAGAGGGGCAGAGAGGCTGCACCACAATTAGACATTTCAAGTGTGCTTTCAACCCCCTCAGAGTCCTGGGGTGCTGGGCCTGTAATTGCCGGCTCCCATTTTTGATTGGAAATGCTTGACTTGTTGCAGCAGTCGCCTCGGAGTAACAGTCACTTCCACCGAGGAGCACCGGTACTGTCAGACTGCTGTATTGCTTATATGAGTTAGGCATTATAATAAAGTTCAGCCTGTGCAGCAGATTGAGCCTCTGGCCCTCTCTGGCTCATTCAGGATAAGTACGTAAATTGATCCTCCGCATTGACGCTGCATCTGGTGGCTCTTTTGTTTGGCTTTCTCATCATTACTGCATGTTTTTTTCCTGTGTAATATTATGGCCCCATGTGAGGCCAAATTGGAGAGAAATGATGAGCATCAGGTGGGGCGCCACGACTGACCATGACGCCCTGATGGATGATGAAATGGTAATTGCTCATCTAATCCTCTAACTGTCTCGCTGTCTGTTTCTCTCACCACAGGTCAGGAGGAGGAGGATGCCGTTTGGCTGTTTAACAATCGGGGAAAAGAAGGATTATAACAATCCTTCGGAGGTGACAGATAAATATGATCTGGGTCAGATTGTTAAATCGTGAGTATTTCAACAACTTGCAACTTGCATCATGATTCCCTGAAAATTATATTGAATACCATCAATGTTTTTTTTTCAGTGAGGAGTTCTGTGAAATATTCAGAGCCAAGGACAAAACTACAATGAAAATGTATACCTGTAAAAAGTTCATGAAAAAGGATGGAAGGAAAGTCCGCAAGGCTGCCAAAAATGAGATCGTCATCCTAAAGATGTAAGTTAGTCAATGTTGTTGCTTTTCTCTGGAGTCTACATTGCATGAGAGAACAACAACACATATTGGCACTTGCTTTAAATAAGGAAAGTGAAGCGCATCTCCCTCTGTTGAGGAATCACACAAAGCCCCTGTTCCTAAGAATGTTATCTCGACTTCTCTGTCATCATCTAACTCTCAGGTAAAACCAACATTAGCATAAACTGGGCCTTATTAAACAATTTGTCGCTGACAGCAGGCAAAGCAGTGGAGCAAGATTAATATGAAACTGTGATTTCTTTATGAGAAACCTTTCAAAGCGTGAACTCATATTCCTCTGTAAATGACCCTTCAGACGCCTCCATAACAGCAATGCGCACTGCTCCGTGTTTTTTGAGGTGTAATCAGCAGCAGGGGGTTTGAGGGAAAGATATGATGACATTGTCAAGGCTGGGAAGAATTGCACCAAATACAGATTTGAATTTAAAATGCTTGCAGTGGGGTATTAGGCAAGATAAGAGGTATTCATCTTCATGTATTTGTTTATTATTATTAAAAACCCTGCACACTATCAGTCATCTGTACTGACAATTCTGTTGAATTGCTGTTAATTAAACGTTACACTGCATTCAGAATGTAACACGTTTCCCTTCACATTGATGTGAGTGGAACTTTTCTCATCTGTATTTCGATCAAAATTTAATTCAGAAATATTCTTGTGATAAAAAATGAAATGGAATTGAATTTATTGTGGTGAAATTTAACTTTAATTGGATCTGTAGAGCGTCTTTGAAAGTGCACGTTTTTTATATTGGTAACACTTAGAAACAAGCCAAAGATCAGAGGGTGTTTAACAGGAGTGTTGGCCGATGCATGAAGTGGACTCACATTTAACTGTATTATCACTATTCCCCTCATCCTTATGTCATTGAAAAAGTGCTTTCTGAGAATAACCGCTGTCTGAGTGTTATGTGGTGCGGTAAGCCAAGCTGTGCCCCAATATTTCTCCATTTGCTACTGAAATGGACTTTTTTATATTTTGTTTTAGTATTTTTTAGTGACATTTGTTAAAAGGACATTTCTTATACTTTTCCAAAAGTCGAACAGTGGAAAGCTTTTCCTGAGCTTCTGAGGGTTAGCGTTAGATGTACATTCCGAGGCATAGTCAGCTGCTCAGCACAGCGGCCACATGAATGTACCAGATCACATATATGTGGTTGTGTGTGGATGGGCAGCTGAAGATGCAGAATTCAGTGCTGTTAAGTGTTAAGTTAGCACGCTCCTTCTCTCTGTCTCCGCCACCAGTGCAGTGTGTCATTAAAACAGGTCTTTACATTAGTAAATCCCAACAGAATGAATGATGAAGACTCTTGACATCGCTCTCTCTTCATCTTTGTGTTCTTCTCTCTCTCTGCCCCGTCCTTTGTGACTCATCTCCTCAGGGTGAAGCATCCCAATATCCTCCAACTGGTGGACATCTTTGAGACCAAAAAAGAGTACTTCCTCTTCCTTGAACTGTGAGTTCAGATGTCTGACGAGCTGGTGGGAAAAGGCTGTCTTGTTTTTTTTCTGAGGCCCAGTAGATGAGTAGTAGATGAACTCCACTTCAGATGGGATTGCTGGCAGGCTGCTCCATTCTCATCAGCATGTGTTCTTGGAGAATTTGAAGCATTTCCACGAATATACTAAATACGGCATACTGTGTCGTCCTTAGCGGACAAACATTTGAGAGTTTAGGAATTCTGGTAAAAAGAAAAAACGAAAGATTTGTGAGAAAGCAAGTGTAACCATTGCCCTTCAATAGGTGGTTATAGATGTTTAATCTTTTCAAGATAAATATTTTGATATAGATATTCATTATACAATTAGAATTACAGTGCAGTTAACACCGAGAAATGAACTTTTATAAATTTCAACAGCAAACATTACGGGTCCTCTCTTTCCCTCAGTGCAACAGGCAGAGAGGTATTTGACTGGATCCTGGACCAAGGCTACTACTCGGAGCGAGACACCAGCAACGTGGTGCGCCAGGTGTTGGAGGCCGTCGCCTACCTCCACTCCCTGCATATTGTTCACAGAAACCTCAAGGTAACACGTTACGTAGACAGAATATCCTCTTCATGGACATTAAGCATCCAACCCGCCTATAGTACACAGGCAGGTAGGTATGGATACATACACAGTACGTCCGATGGTCTAGATCAGCAGAGGAATGGAAGGGTCGGAAGGCTTCCTGCTGTGTGCTCTTCAGACTCTATGTCAATACCGTTTTAAGCCAAACAAAAAAAATGTTTCCTCTGTTTTCTCAAATCTATTTGTGGATCTTTTCTAGGATTACGTTTATGTTAATATGAAGATTATCATTAGATGCAACTGTGTTCCCAGATCTTCAGAAATTATTTATTGATGTAAAACAAATGTTACTAAGTGAAAAGGAATTTAATGAATAAACAAAGGACATAAACCAACCAGCCATATTTTAAATTTAACTAATGGAGAAAAAGGGGGTGCACTATGATTAGTATTCATGGTAAAACCTGGATAAGCTTCTCTCTCTGTCAGCTCAAACTTGGTGGAGGCATTGGCATGTCTTTCTTTTTATTAATTTTAATCTGCACTGGATAATTAAACTTTTAGATGTTTTCAGTCTGAGTACTTAGTCTTCAAATTCGTTCCGTCAGAAAATGATGTCACAACTGAAAGTCAAAAAGTTCATTAGATAATTGGCCGTCAAAATGAAAGACCCCAATCATAATCACATCTTGAAGTTTCCATTGTAATATGTTGTTCTTTGTAGTTGGAGAACTTGGTTTACTACAATCGCCTGAAGCACTCTAAAATAGTCATCAGCGACTTCCATCTTGCCAAGCTGGAGAGCCGGCTGATTAAAGACCCCTGTGGGACACCAGAGTACCTAGGTGAGAATATCGAAAGTCACAGATAGGACATTATGGAGCATGTGATGTGGCTGATGATGTGTCTATGCTCTGGTTTAGCTCCAGAGGTAGTGGGCAGACAGCGATACGGCAGCCCTGTGGACTGCTGGGCAACCGGTGTCATCATGTACATACTGTAAGTGGAGACGTGAGACACCAAGAAGCACTGCACCACATTTACAGTAACGATGGTGCATTATGAAACACATGTAGATATTTCTTCACACCTGATTCTCTCTTTTTGTTTAACCTCAGGCTGTCCGGCAACCCTCCTTTCTACGATGAAACTGACGACGACGACTTTGAAAACCATGACAAGAACTTATTCCGAAAGATCCTGGCCGGCGATTATGAGTTTGACTCTCCTTACTGGGATGAAATCTCCGATTCAGGTACTTTAAGGATACAGTGAACAATGGGAAGGAACACTCTTACAGCTATCTTCCAATGACCCCCGGAGTGGCCAAACACATGTCATATAGATAACTTAACTTAAGTTAAGTTTCTTCTGTGTGATTTTCCTGACAGCTAAGAGTTTGGTTGCTCGGCTGATGGAGGTGGATCAAGACCTGAGACTGACAGCCCAGGAGGCTATAAACCATGAGTGGTAGGCGGCACAGCTTTATATAGCAGTGAGATCCGAATGTGTTTGTGTGATGTGAAGCAAAAGAGCAGCCTTTCTTTCTCATGTGTCCCCAGAGAGAAAGGCAGCAAAAAGGCTAATCGCTGTTCCTAATGAGTCTTCACAATTTAGTGGGCTGTAACTCAACAGCATATCAACATGTACACTTTACTCAACGATAAGCCCTTGTATTTTGTATAGTCTAAAATCGCAAATTACAAATTTGCCTCAGAGGGCTTTACAGTCTGTACACATACGACATCCTTTGTCCCCAAACCCTCCATCGGCACAGGAACAACTTCCCAAACAATGAAAAACCCTTGCATGGGGAAAAAATGGAAGAAGCCTCAGAGAGAACGTCAGAGGAGGATCCGTCTCCTGATGGACAGACTACAATAGATGCCATGTGTACACAATGAACCATGTGAAAGATGAACAATACAGTCAACTCCTATAACAGAGATGATTCAAATAATTGCGAGTAGTAAGTAGGTGTACGGCAGGACCACTGCAGGGACACCCACCATCAGATAGAACCACCATCAAATAGAACTACCATCAGACAGAACCACCATCAAATAGAACTACCATCAGATAGAACCTCCATCAAATAGAACTACCATCAGATAGAACCTCCATCAGATAGAATCACCATCACATAGAACCATCATCCACAAAAGCCTGTGGGGAGGGAAAGCACACAGCCTTTAGGAGAGGGTAATGTTGGTTTATGATGATAGTCATAGTAATATGATTAATATGTAAAATAATAATAATGATAGCAGCAGCAGGTGTCAGCAGGGCCACGGCAGGAGGCAGGAACAGGGTCCAGAACCATGATCCATGGAAACCTGTGTGGCAAGAAAGCAGAAATACTCCATGGAAGAAACAAAGTTAGTAATGCGCATTCATGTTTACAGCAATAGAAATGGGAATATCAGTGGTGTTGGAAGGGTTAGGTGTTCGCGGGCTAGGAGTCAGGACCAGGGTCCAGATGGAACTACGATCTACGGAGACCTACGAGGCGAGAAAGCACAAAAAAAGAGATGACAACGCCTGGACTTTCTGAAACAAATGCATTGGCCCAAAATATTGCATGCATTAATTGTTCTTAGACATGGTGTTCTAGTGACTTTGGTGATGCAATGACTTTTACCCCCATGTTCCATGTCGAAGTGTCCCTGAGCAAGACACCTAACCCCTAATTGCTCCCTGGGCAAAAATGTGAAAAAGCCATGGGTTTAAAGTGTAATGTAAGTCGCTTTGGATAAAAGCGTCTGCTAAATTACCTGTAATGTATGTTCCCCAAAGGATCATTTCAATAACCAGAATTACGAGTCCATAAAATGAACAATACATTGAGTATAAATTGTGTTTTTCCCATTTTCTACCTCAGGATCTCCGGCGGTGCGGCTTCAGATAAGAACATTAAGGAAAATGTGTGCGCACAAATAGAGAAGAACTTCGCCAGAGCAAAATGGAAGGTGAGCATTCCTGTTCTCCTTTCATGCAACGTCACCTTCATCAAGTTCAACCGTGGTTGTGTGCTCCTTAAACATGGACGTGCAGTAATTCATCATTGTATACCACAAGAGCACATAGAGTCAAGGTCCGCAGGTCAAAGCACCCCTTTGAGTTCAGCTCGTCGTCCTCTCCTCTTACAGAAAGCCGTGCGGGTCACCACCATCATGAAGCGTCTGAGAGCCCCGGAGCCCAGCCCTGCAGCCGGCGCCCCTGCAGCCGGTGCCCCTGCAGCCGGTGCCCCTGCGGCTCTCCAGGGTGCCACCGACCCCTCTGCGCCTTCATCTTCCGCGACACCCGAGGAGGTGCCTGCCGCCGTCACAGAGCTCCCTGCTGGGGCGGAGATAAACCAACCGGCACCAGAGGCCGGAGGCGAGGTGGCCGCCTCCCCTGCGGAGCCACGGCAACCGAGCCCTGCGCCACAGGAGGCTGAGCCCACAACGCGCTGTAATGGGGAAGCTTCGGCTGAGCCCCATGCAACCGCAGAGGGCGGGGAAGAGCTGGGTTAGACCCCCCCGACCCCCGCCCACCCGAACTCTCATGACCTGTGTTCTCCCTGCCGACTCCTGCACACTGTACGTTAGCTGCTAGCATGGTGACACTGACTCCGCTTCTCTCTCACTTGCAGCATTAGTATCATCTCATGGAGGCAGTGTGCTACCTGTCCCCAGCGCTGCTTTCCTTTTACACGTCATGTGTCTTTTTTCACTGATTATTTAAATCTTTTCCATATCCACACACTTGAGTTTAGGGGCAAACAGATTTGCTGTCAAGCTGTGGCTTACAACTAAATTGTTCTTTCTTAATCTTCTCTTAGTGACGAGAGATATAGAGGAGGACGAGAGTGTGCTGCGAACGGCTTTGATTCATTTTTAATGAGCCAACTTGAGAAACTTCTTGCAATTAAAGTATTTGTCCTTTTATTCGGTGGAAAAGTATTGCTTCTGAAAATGTTCCTTGTACCGTGATACTTAATAAGTGCTATAAGTGCTGGTCCTCACATGGCGAAGATCACATATTCCTGTTACGGGGCCAATATTGTTATCCCTCTTAATTTTTGTCTACACCAACGAGTCATTTCCCGTTAAACAATGCTCGATTGGTGACTGGGAGCCATTGGGCATTTCGAACTAGGCAGCTTCACACACCTGCACACACACAAACACTACGTTCCTTCCTGCTCAGGGAAGAACCTCATAGCTGTAGGTGTAAAGATTGTACATAGAGACCTTTGTAGAAGTAGCCAAAACAGCATGCATTCTTACTTTTTGCTGTTCATTTTACACTCAAATACTTGTTGGATAAAGATGCTACACCGCCATGCTTCTCAACGTCTTATCACACGCCGCAGAACGCTCGCCGAGGCTGACGTTCTTTTCAATAGCACACGATACATTGTGCTGTCTATCGCGACTGTTTTAGCACCCTTGCCGTCAATGTTAGTTATGTGAAGGAGAAAATTACAGTCTGCATTATATATGAGCTCTATGCATTCAAATTCATTTGTAGCTTTTCTTTTTTTAGAGACTTCACATGTCTTTATTCATCACGTCACAAAAAAGTGAATTTGTTAGATAGGATTCCCTTTACACAAATGTGCTGTGGTTTAAATGGATCTGGACTCAAAATGCCACATATGTCTTAATATTTTGTAATAACTGTAAATCAAAATGTGCATTAACGGACATGTGGTCAAAAGGAAGCCACACACCATTTTGACCTTTTGGTGACAACAGTCATCTTTTCTGTGTTATAGAGAATTATGGGAATCCTTTGTTTGATATTTCTGAACGTATTGTTAATTCATAAATAGTTTTATTGCCATACCTTTTTTCTTTCTTTCTGTTTATGTTGTTTTTTAACACTTTCAGTCATATATTTATTCCATAGAATTTTCTCCTTATACTTGATGAATCCTAATAACAATCTTTCCTTTCTTGTTGCCCTTTGGTCCCTTTGACCATTAATAACGAGCAACAGAAAGATTTCTCTGGAACTAACTAACTAAGTTGAGCAATATTCGACTGGCTGCAGAAACTGTGATTCCTAGTGTCCATTCCATCGAGTCCATTCACCTGTAAGCAGAAGTTTATCGTCCTTGCCAGCTGTGCGACCCAATTTGGCAATTTAAAGGGACAGTTCCAAATCAAACAAACATATTTTAGATATTGATCTACTTGCACGTAGTGCTACTTATCATTCTAGAGTTGTTTTGTGTGAGTTTTCACTTGGCTTGTGGTGCTCAATACTCCAAAAAATACATTTGAACATTAATACATCAAGGATCTACAGACCTTATTGTGAGCAGTGTAAAAATATCACTACAGAAGGAAAAAGGAAGAAGGAAAAATGTATATTTTGAAAGGAACTACCTCTTACAAAAATATACATTTACCTAACTTGTCAAATACCGATGTATGGTCAGTGACCCCTGGGATCCAATAACAATTCAATGCTGTTTAGTGTCTGTGGGGCTCCAAGTGGGCCAAGCCCATCTGCATCATTACTAAAACAGTCATAGCAGCCAACGTATCTTTAGTAAGGACAAAGTTTGTTGGGACTATTCGGTCCAATAGACTTTTTACCCAGAGACAAACGCTGACATATGATCCCTTACTTTTGTCACATAGATAACTTGTCGATCTATGTATGAATACAGCAGCATCATTGTCAATGTAATGATCAGATTCCATGTCCAAAGTATAACATTTCCAATCTGTTGTCAACTGTGAACACCTGTGAATTTATATGAAAATGTGCATTTTAGATGAAACTGAACTTTGGAAGAAAACCGTTAATATCTGTGGAATATCCATATTTACTTTATCATACATGTATCTACTTTGAAATTGTGCTTAGACAGGCCGATCATTCAGAATATACAACTATTTGATTTCTTACATTGTTTAATATATATTTAGAGTAGAGGCTTAAAGTGAAGAATATCAGAGACTATAAAAGTAATCAGATTATTTCATGTTGCCTGTTTTCTTTGTTTGGATGGCAAATAAATACTGTTTGAACACTGTTACACAGTTTAAAGCAAGGCTTTCCTCTCCCCACCCCCACAATGCATTCCTCACTGTATTTAATATTCCACCTCTGTTCATTTCGCCGCGCACTTACAGGTGTATTTGTAGATGTGGTGTTTGCCAGGACCAGCGGTCACCTGTAGGTCCTGTCTTGCATTTTGTGAGCTCTTAACTGTACTACTTGACTAGGGTGATGACTTTAATGGTAAAAAAATAAAATTCTATTTCATCTGTTTATTCATCAGTAATCCTCTTCATTCCGCTTCAGAGTGGACGGACGCGACATCGAGTCTCTCCAAAAGGACGGCTCTGTGAGATCTGGAGGATTGTCTCAAATAAATGTGGGGAAAAAACCTTCGTCATCTGCTGTAGAAGAGGATCTGTGTTACACTCACTTAGCACAAGCGTAGCAGCCGTCCTGGTGGGGTGTGAACCTGTGTTCCCAGTAGTGCCGTTTGGTGACACTTAGATGATACTTGAATTTCATCTTGTTGGAATAATGATGCAGAGAGCTGACTTTGCAGGGCCTCAAAAGGCTTCCTGGTGGGAGATTATCTCTCTTTTTCACGTCCATCATAGACAGATGTGCAGCCATCCATACACTCATCGGGGCTCAGGGGGATCGTAAGTGTGCCCCTGTGTCCTTTCATCACTTCGGGAAGAAATGTGTCTTTGACAGAAGGAAAATACAAAATACAATCCTCTCAAAAGAAAATAGTAATTCTATTATAATTCTAACTAAACTAAAATAGTATCCAAGACATTAGTTGCACATTGAGTTATTTTTTGGAAATGTTTAAGTAACAGCAAGCAAGAATCCATCTACGGCCACAATAATTGTAATACGGACACTTCTGATGATGTTTCCATTTTAGGAAACTACCAGGCATAATGATGACAATATTCCAAGAATCTTGATAATGATTAATGCGTTCGCTTTGTAACATCCATTCATTGGCGTTTAGGGATTAAGAAAAACAATCAATCACAGCAGCTCCCCTTATCGGTTGACTGTCTCAGCTTTCAGCATGCCGCTGAGGTTCATTAGATGGCCAAAAAAACGGGGGTTATTTTCTAATATAACAACAATTAACTGTTATGAATATTAATGTCAGATGGGAACGCGTCTATAGCTTAATCGACGAACAATCATTTATGAAGGTTAATGACAAAATGTTTCAGATATTAGCCAGTTGGTTGGAGCACTATTGAGACTTTTCCCACCAGCCGATGGTTTCTTTTATATTGCTGTTTCAGACCCAAAGGTACAGCAGACACTGTCACAATACGCCACCTGCTGGTTGATAATGTGCAATCCTGTTATGACCCTAAAGAAACAACAGAGAGCAGTATTGTTCCCTCTTTTCCCTGCTTCGCATCACGTCCCTACAGCCTAATCCGTATGGAGTTACTGGATGAGAGAGCCTAAAAATATGTCTAGAATATGGGGTGATGCATCAAATGTAGCAGCCAGTCACTTTAAGAGCTAAACTCTGCAACCCTGTTTGTGATGGATTCCAGGTTCAGGCAGGTTCATCCCTGTGAGCGAGTTTCAATACATTAAAAACTCTCACTATCCAAAAGTCTCTCTTTTCCAACAATGCAGAGTGCTCTACTGCTCCGCACCGTGAGAGACACCGAGCACCAGATCCGACTCCCCGATAACATTCCACATTAGAAAAAGTCAATTGAATGGTGTTGGTGATGTCATCGCTTGGCACGGTCATGTGACGTGCCGCTGTGGAGACAATACCCTGTAGAACCGCACCTCTGTTGCTTTCTGAAGAATGGTGCACATGTCTGATCAGGTCGGGTCGGGTCAACTTTGTCGTGGAATTCCCTAAATGTGGATCAGCCCTTTGGTTTCTGATTCCGAGGCAGCTGGATTTGAAGTCATTTAGCTGACGCTTTTATCCAAAGCAACTTACATTACATTTTTAACCCACGGCTTCTTCATTTTGTCCAGGGAGCAATTAGGGGTTAGGTGTCTTGCTCGGGGACACTGCTCGGGGACACGGGACATGGGGCAGCCAGGACTCGAACCACCAACCTTGATGGTTCCCAGTGCACCCTCACTACCCCTGCGCCACGATAATGCAGATATGACTTGAACAGCCACTGTGCTCAGGACTGTCCACTCCTCTGCCTCGCTGCTCCTTGACAGGGATCAGATAAGCGAAGGGAGCAGAGTAATGAAAATGGGGGACTACAGTCCTCTAAAGCCCAAATGTCATCTGATGCCTGATGGTTTCCCAAAACATCTGACCTCCCTCTGCTTTGTTCTGGAAGGATTATTCTCACATTCTAGGGTGAAAAGGAGTCTGCAGACAGGTTCTCATCTCCACTTTTTACAATATGTCATTGGGCTGAATTGAGCAGATGAAATTCTTTTATGGGATAACTTTTGCGGGATACATATTAAATTAAAATCACATGCGGATGCCCAAACCAGCGTCTACATGTTGTCCTTATAGTGCACACATTTATGTCATCCATAAATAATAAATCATGTATACTTTGTCCTAGATTGTTGTGGGAGAATGTGTGTTTAGGAGTCATCAGGGCTTAAATGACAAGCAAAATTCTGACGGGCTTAACTATCTCACCCTAAAACACGCTGATGTGAGCCAAATGGCACCAAACACACATTCCTTCTGATTCAACTGGTTTAACAGAATCTGGTCTCAAGTCACAACATTTGGCAAACCTACAAAGAAAGGGATCTTCAGAAACTAGGAGATACATGAAATATTTGTCAATAGATGAAAAGTTTAGCCATATCGGCTGAAAGAGAGCTGCAGGCCACTGTCGCTGAGAGAATGGAGCCAACCGTTGAGCACGTGCATGTCTAATAGAGGCAGCGTGCATCATGTTATACAATAACCATGTTTGGTCAGTGGCTTTTTTTAACAACACAGTTTTGTTGTAAAGGCGAATTGGTGTAATAGGCTCAACTTTTTGATAAATAAGTATTGGTTTAAAGCTTGCGCGATCTCCCACAGATAAATTCTCATTATCTAGCTCAACATCTATCATTCAAGTAATTAACCTTCACATACAAGCTCATCCGAACATATTAACTGCTCAAGGATTATGAACCTATCTATATAGGTATAGAGGTACAGACACCGACTAAAACCGAGCATTTATCCCCCTGCGTCCTTCCCTGGCGACGTGTTTTACTTTCCGATAATAAATATAAATGCAATGTGTATGTTTTATACAAATGTGCATACATATCTCTTTAACAGGTAGAACTTTATTCCAAGGATCCAGGGGATTCTGGGCAGAACATGGAAAACAACCAGGATCAAGCCAATCACAATGAAGGGGGGGGAGCATTCCATTCTTATAAAATATAGAGCTTTAATTTATTAGTCGGCAACAACAACGGAAAGGGAAGAGAGCGTCATTTACACAAGCCATTACAAGAACATCACCTTTGTGCATTTAGTCTTTTCTTTTTTTCCATAAAGTCTGATGATGCAGAAGTACAAAAACAAACAATAAACATTCAAAAACTACAGACGTTTTCCAAAAAAAAAAAAAAAAAGAATTGTACAACCTTTCTTTGTGTCTTTTTTTCCGTTTGTTGTATATATAACCCCTGGTCTCATCTGGAGCAGAGAACCAGGAACTGTGGTGGATTGTGGGAATGCAGACAGACACGAGGAGCAGATAGATATACCTGGGTATGAATGATTGATGCATCTTCCCAAAGGAATTCATAGCAGCCTGAATATGAGACACGCTGTATTAAAAGCCTCAACATATCAGAATGATATATAAATTCCACATGTGTCTTATACATGAAAATGGCATTAATTTCCCTCAAAGGAGAAATGCTTTACTGCTTTTGAGGAGCATAACAATTCTGGATAGGACCATGACACACCTTAATATAATAACTGCACCTTCATACTTCATATGCCATTGAATAAGACGGTATCTCATTATGTGCTAACCGAATCGTATCTCACTTAATTAACAAAATCCAAAATGTATTTCAATGTCAATGAAAAGATGCATCGTGCTTATATAAGGTATATTTGTATTGAGGGTGTTTCTTTAAAGCATTTATTTTCCCCAATGTCCCCAGGAATGTCCCTCAGCGACCGTACAGCCAGAGAGATGAAAAGCAGGAAAGAATACCACATAGTATCTTATCAGAATTACAGGACAAATACAGGTTCATGCACACAATGAAAGCCAGCTTCCCAATATCTTGGTTAGTGTCACAACATTGTTACAATGCTTTGTTGTGTATATGTGTTTTTTTCCACATGTAAAAGGAGAAAAAGACAATAGATGACAATAGTCTCAGAGCTGTTGTCTGAACGCTGCATCTCTTTGACATCTTCAACTGGATGTTTTTTTTTTTTTTTACAGAACTATCAACTATACTTGCCCGAGTGTGCTTTTTGCATTTGGCCCCAGCCAAAGTCCCCTCAAAGTTAAGAAATAATGCCCCTTGTGCAGAACCGTGACTTTTATTGCACCTCAATCTCATTTCAAAGATGTTTGCATTTAAAAATAGCCCCTATTACCTCATAGATTTGATTCGACAAACAGATCTTTTTAAACTTGAAGTTGTGGCCAGTGCTGTTGAGATTTCAATAATCCAAATGGGTGTCTGGGCTGAATAGCTGCAAAGACACTGGATCATTTTACAATCAATCCTCCAATAAGGAAGGAAATACAATCAGGGCAAGCACCAGTTTCCTATTAACACCTGTGAGAATATTTCAATACTCTACATCTGGGTTGGCTTTGAGAAAAGACTGTTTCCCCAGAATAACTGGGCCACGATGGTCCCAGTGCAACATTAAGTGTCTCTCTGCATGCAGCCATGAGGAACTTGCGTCCATCACCCCTCATCAACAACTCATCTCACCGTCAGAGCTTCTCAAAGCTCACATGCCCGACAGGCATTCCAAAGAGTTGCCAAGGTCATACGATGCTGACAGATGAGTTTTGTAATGACAGTAACAGCAACAATAAAATTAACAACATCATAAGAACAATAATATTTGCCCCAAAGGTAACTTTACACAAAGAGCACGTTTTTTTCTATAAGTACAAAGTAATCCACAGAATGATTCTATATACAACCTACAATAAATACGGTGTATCATATATCTTATTGTTTGAGAGGATGTGTGTTTGAAAGCCTCTTTTTTTTCTTAGTTTGCCTTTTTAGGGATTTGTGGATTTTTACTTTTCACGTTTGCTACCTTCAATGAGTCTCTCCCAGTTTTCGCAAGGTGGTGGTGGTGGTGGTGGGGGGGGGGGTGCTTGAGGCTCTTTTAGACACAAAGCTGAGCTTCTCATGTATCTACCTCATGTAGCTCCTCGTTCTCCTCCCCCTCCCTTTCCCCCTCCCTGTGGTGCCGGCGGTTCCGGGGCTTCTTCTGCTCCTTGAGCTCCTTCAGGTCTTTGGCCTTGAGGGCGCCCAGCAGCGGGTCTCCGAACTGCCAGTAGTCCTGGCAGTACTGATTGATCAGGCTCATCTCTGGCTGGCTCAGGATGGTCAGCAGGTCCTTGTACTGGCCCGCGCTGGGGGTCCACTGGGTGCTGCCCGCGTGTAAAGACGGCACCAGCCCTCCTCCGCCCTCCACCAGCACGTTGTTGACAGCCCGACCCGACAGCACCACCAGCTGAAGCTTGACCAGCGTGTGTTTGAAGTTCTTCTCCGTGGCCGTACACTGGTACATGCCGGAGTCCGAGGGCTGCAGGGACCGCAGCAGGAGGCCTTGCTCGGTCTTCAGAATGCGACCATCAGAGCGCATCTGCAGAGAAAAAGAGTTCATCCTGTGAATTTACACAACAATTTGTATTTCTATAGACGGATACTGGAAGGGGGTGAGGCTTCAGCAGAAGGTTCTCTAGTGTCTCATTTTCTGCAACATCAGGTGAAAACTAATCATTACATCACATGTTATTTAGCTTTTATCCAAAGCCACTTACAATAAGTGCATTTCAACCATAAGGACACAAACTCAAAAGAACAAGAACAAGAATAAGCCGATTTACATCTCAAAAAGAATGAATTATTCAACTTAAAACTATATACACTTCTCTTAGTCAGGCGTTATACTAAGCATCTTATTCTCTGACTGAACATTTTTAGACATATGTCCGTATCTGAGATCTCACCCACTGTGAAAGTCTGATTTCTCTGGGTTTAGAGATCGGACTAAGTTGTAAGCATTTTTTAAGGAAATGTGTCAGTGAGGGGAGGGGGACTTTAAATAAAATATAATGTATTTGTTCATATGTCCACTGTTTTGGTCTGCTTGGTTGATTCATATCTTTGAAAAATGAATAAATTCTAAGGTAATCAAATAGCATCTCTTGGATTAATTCCCCAGAAATCTGTACATCCACAACAAGGAAACTGATAAGCGCCGCTCTTCAGCTCAGAAGTGCAAGGCAGCAGCCGTTGGGGATAGAGAGCATCCAACGGCATGCAACACCGTTTCAATAAAACTTTAACTAGGGCCTCAGGGTTATGTATCAGTACAGAGGGTTTTTTCTTTATGTGTCCTTCCCTTGGACCCGAGCACAGTCGGAGGTCTGAAATCAGCCCCCGTTTAGTCAGATCTTCAATCACATAATCTTGCTAACAGGGATTAATACAAGAATTATACTGGGGTCATTTATAACATGTGTCATACTGCATTAAATCTCCAATTCATCTTCTCAAGTGAAATGAAATACTGGGCCACACCCAGTAAGGAATGGTCTGACATGTTTGGGGAGTTGACATTTTTATAAATATGAATTTTGAGTAAACCGGCCACAAACACGATGGATACGCTTCTGTAAGGAGCCTCTGTGATGAATACACAATGTGTCACCTCTTTCCTGCGCTCGCTGTTGTCTCTCTGCAGATGCCATTTGATGAGAGCATGTGGAGAGCGGGCCTGACACTCCAGGAAGGTACTGCTCCCCTCCACCCCGTACTGCACCATCTCCAGAGTGTTCTTATTGGCTGCGGGGAAGAGAGAGAGGGGAGTTTCCATGGCAACCAAAACACTCATTACCATGAGCTCCTTACAACCACAACCTCGGGCGCGGCGAAGAGAAGTCCTTTTAGCAATACGGCTGTCACAGATTACCATAAAGCTGCTGGAATAGCGTCATTACAGCGCTGAACGCTGAAAACCATCAACAGCAGGCGAGTCTTTCTCAGGGTCATTAACAAACAAATAGAAAGGATGGGAGAACAACTGATGAAGAACAGACGTCTTACTGTTAGAGTTGAAGCCTCGGCATTGGCGGATGGGGTTTCCGTACTTGACGTCCTGCCGCCGGCTACGTCTAAAGGGGTCAGACCAGTATTGCCGAATAAGGAGAGAAAAAAGATAATAAAGCAACCGCAAGCCATTCAAGTATCCTGTTTAAATGGATCCACCCGCAAATCACCACACCATTACGTTATAACAAGCATGCAAATTTACATCATTAGCTTGTTACTAGTTTAAAAGGTGCATGATTTATTAGTGGAGCCTAATCCACACTTTACCCAAGGACCATGAGGAATGTACAATTTAAACACGCTACATTGACATTTAAGCAGACAATTGGTTTACAGGCTAATCTGGGTACCAGAACAAGCCAGCTGAGTCAGCTGCCACTGGTGCTCACCTCTTCTGCGAGGCGGAGTAACGGGAGCAGGACTTGCCGTCCCAGGCGCAGTAAGGGTCTCTGGCCAGACAGCAGTCAGCACAGGCCTCGCCGTACACATCACAGCGGTGGAGAGCCAACTGGGTCAGCCCTGTGGCCGATGACACGTATAGCTGTTGCTGTTGAGAGAGAAGAGGATGAAGGATTGTGTTAGGGGAAGAGAAAACATCAGGTTTTGTTGGGACAGCTGCTCATCGAATTACTTACTCATTAAATTTAATGACTGCTACTGTATATATATTTATTTTAGGGTTAACCAGTGCCCAGTATTAAAAGTAGTACAATTCATTTAATTCCAGAAGAAATTGGTTCTCAAAATATAAATCAGGTTCATACATTAATATTCCAGATGTAATATTCAGATCTGAACATCTGGGATACAAGAGATCAGCAATCAACCCTCGGTGCATGAATTTTCCATCTGAAATTGTGAACCCTAAGAGATTTAAGTCGCTTCGCCCAGTATTTCCCTCCATAAAATACTTCATAAACCCAGATGGATGTAATGTACATGCTCTCCTGCAGCAGACTCTGGATGAGCTCCTATCTATCCGGTTGCCGTCATCATTATAAGTTTAGCGGTTTGAAATCTTTCTGGCAGGCTGTTTGAAACACAAACTCTGTGTGTGGAGTGTCGTCGTAGTCTTACAATCACACTGAAGACAACACTGCAGCTACAGTGTCTTTTCCATCCGTCTTCATTGTCTCCCTCAGACTGCTTTACTATGAATTATGAAGCATTGAAGCACAGCTGCGTATGTATGTAGCTTTGACCTTTCTACGGAAGATGGTCTCTTTCCTTTTTATGTGAGCAGAGATTAGGAAGATCATTTGCACAGATTTGCTTACTCTTTTGGATGAGATCTTCATTGTTGTAATTGGAGTGGGAACCTTAACAGAGAAAAGAACACATTGTGAGTATGTTAAAAGATAGATATGTACAGAGGAATGAGCAGAAAACAGATGATTAGAAAGGACAAAGACATTTTGAGTGTTAAGAAGAGAGAGAGAGAGAAATGTAGACAAAAGGTCAATAGAAGCTCACCTTGAAAACCTCAACCTCCTCGAGGACCAGCTCCTCAGTCTGCAGGTCGTCTCTGGGCAGAACGATGACTTTCTGTACTGTTCCCTTGTCTGCGGACCACAACACACACCTGTCAGCCACATACCTGCAAGCTCACACCACCCTGCCTGTCAGCAGATTCCCATGTTATTCTTCTAACAGGCTCTTCTGTATTCTTCCCCTCTTCTCTATGCTTTACACTCTCCTCAATGACGTGAGGCTCCGTTCCACTTAACATGACAAACCCCTTCTGTCATCCTCAGCCCCCCTCCTGCCTTGACCTATTCATCTGGACGCCATAAGACAACCCTGTTTGATTTCTGCAAAGAGTTAGGCATTCCTCTGAGCAGGATACCTGAGATGTAGTATGACTGCGGCACCATTAAGGAATGAATGGCTGCATCTGACAGCAACTGAAAGGACGGACATTCCTCCAAAGTGGCTTCTCCCCGTCGTGCACAGACGAACAAAGGAGCCAGTACAGGGCGTCCTATGCGATATGCGAGGGCTGCATCCTGCGTGGTGGCCCCTGCTGTCATCCTGGAGCCTTATTAAAGGTTCAAGGCATGCAGACAGGCAGACAGACAGACGGACGGATAATCTCTTTTACACCAGTGAGCGAGATTAGGGTGATGGATGTTGTATCTGTACCCCCCCCCCCTTCTCTTCTTACCCCCTGTTTCTTTTCTCTCCCTCCTGCTACTGATCCACCCGTGCCCTCCAGGTACAAATCTCCTGTTGTTTACTGAATAGTGTGAAACTCTATGATTGGTTAAATTCTCAATTGAGCACAAAAGAGAAGAATTCTTTTCTTGTGGTGATAAATGATTGCAGGGAAGACAATTATTTGTCCCTATATGGCCAATGATGGCTGCCACGGTGCTCCGCTGCTCTTTGTCACTTTCATTTTTTTACTTTTTAACATTTTTTTAACTTTAAAAGACATGGCCGTATATACTAACCCATAGCATTACATCTTATTTTATTCCTCTTGCACTATGTCGTACTGTCTTGTTGTCCATTGTCTAATTGTCTGCTGTTACGCACCAACCGCCAAGTCAAATTCCTTGTATGTCTGACATATTTTGCTAATAAATGTTTCCTGATTCCTGATTTCCACAGAGAGATTGTTTGCCTCATTAGTCAGCTTCTCACTGTCGTTCATTCTTCTGACTCTGATCAAAGTGTTTACTGTGAAACTGTTTCACTCAGAATAGCGTCTTGTACGCAATGTAAAAAAACAACATTTTGCTTTTTCTCTCTATTCTATCAAGCAAAAATGTATTATGTTGCAAAACACTCACCAGTTCCTAAAAAGAGAACTTCATAGTTGCCGTCTGCAGCTGCCACTTGGTCGACAGTGATGGTGGTGAACTCATAGTCCACATTGGTCCGAACCACCAGGGGGCGCTTGTGTACCGGGTACACAGCGTTGTACATGGCAGGGTGATTCCTCATGAAGTTAATCACTTCATCTGGATAGTCCTTAGTGGACTTCATGTTGGGGGTGAATGTTCCTCCAGGGCACTGAAAGAGAAACAGAAGCGTTCACATTCTGCGTTTGGGGTAAAACCCATGAAAAATAATTGATATAATCACATTAAAAAAGCCTATGTTGTTAAGCTGATGCCTGCACCTTGTTCAGATGGTTTCTATTTGAGGTCTGGGTCTGAGAAAAGCTGATGTTATGCCAGCTTGCTCTGAGTTTTAATGTGTGGGGTCAGCCCCAGTTTGAGACTCACTGTGCCGGGTCGCGGGTAGGGGATCTTCCCGCTGTAGGCCACCCACTGGTAATTGGGACCCTCTTTGTGGGCGAATGGTCCGTTGAAGACCATGCGGATGTCAGCCATGGAGTACACACAAACTGCTGAGCCTTTGAAGACAGAGCTGTGAACACCAAGTAAGGACAGAGGAAGGTCAGGGAGACGCATCCTGCAGAATGAAAATAAAAAATCTAGAAAAATATCAAACAGATGATGGTGATATTGATAGACATTATCTGTTATTGCACACTAACCCAGAGACAGAGAAGACGCCGTATATAACAGGATTCTTTGTGTCCTGTGTTGGCTGTATGTAAACATCTCCTGTAAGAGGGAAGAGAGAAATCATGTCAGTGCAAACAGACCGGCTGCAGGAAACGTCACCGCACAACCACTCTTCTTTACTAATATTTACACAACTTTCAGTCAATCCGACCCCTCTTAGCCGGAGAAACCTTTAGGTTACACACCAGTGGAAGGAGTGATGCGCTACAAAAGAAGCTGAAACTTTATCTTCGTTGAAAACACATGGAACCCACCTCCGGATTTGGATAATGAGTCACAAGTGACATCTTCTTTGAGAGTCCAAGAAATCCATAATTGTGAAACAAGAGAAAAGGTCAGGGGTTCATGTGTGTGCTGCTTTTTCTGAACGTATATTCTGCTTAGCCACAATAGTTCTTAATAGAAAAGTTATTTTTTTAGTTTTTTAATCAAAGTAAAAATCTTGCTCATTTCATAAGAAACATTATATACATTTCATATTTATAGATATATGTTTATTAAATTTACCATCCTGAGGGAGCCTGAGCCTGTGTACTGGATTTCATCCAATTGCCGTCCCTAGTGTTAAATACGCTTGGGTAAACATTAGCTTCCAGTCCAATAGAAATAAGACGAGGGAAAAAAGCGAGTCCCTTCCATCAAGTCAGCTCTCCGCCATCCTCATAACCTGAAGGTGGAAAACACCAATCGTCTTTTGTGCAACAGGAAATTGAACAATTCCCTCAGGAAAGCTAGTACGGTGAAGGTTTTAAGGAGACACATCTCACAAGAGAATCACGAGAGACGTTACCACCTCACCTCGAGCAGGCTGTCCAACCAAAGCGTCAGAGCAAAGCAGTGAAGCGTCCGGCTCAGACGGGTCTAGACAGGAATCACACTTCATGTCTTCCACTTTGACAGAAAAGTAATATCTCCTTTCTCCTAAGACAGCTGCATCATACACTCCTAAGCAAACTCTGGAGGTCTCTAAATCCAAAACGCTGTGATATCATCACTTCCTGATTCACATGATCCATTTGTTAATACTGAAGAAAAGTCCGTAGCAACAAAGGAGAAGACCTAAACATGTGATGGGTAATATGTCCCTCTCCTGTTCCCTACCTGAACTAAATACACTGCCAACAATAGGACAAGGGCCTTCGGCGAGACACAAACAAGGCACTCCCAACCGAGTTGTGCAGCAAAGACAGAGGGATCAAGCTAAAAAAATATTAAACATTATTACAAATATATATAAACATCAGAGCTCGTGGGACGGAAACAGATAGAGAACTGATCCACGCAAAAAGAGTGTACCAGTTCAGATGTATGCACTCACAGTCCCGTATAGACCAGCCTGAGAAATGAGCTGTCAGAGAGAATGATACATGGAGGGCCGAGCATTGTCTTTGAAGGGGAACTGCTGGGTTCTGGTTCCGTCCACATTAGTGAGCCTGTTCATTCAAGCCGTCCTCTGGGGACTGTCTACATATAGGAGCTCATTCCTGGAGAAAAGGATAAAGCTCAGGAGCGCGACAAAATTCCTTGAAGTACACACGCACACACACACACACACACCACCGCCATCATGCCATCTTCCACAGCTGCCACAGGCGGGGCAGTGGAACGGTCATGGGTTAGTGTGGAAGCAGCACGACGGGCTGCCATGGGTGTCAGACAACAAATGATCCTTGTCACGACATACAGCTGTTGTTCTGCAGAATCGAGACATTTGCACGCAAGAACAAGTGTGCATACGTGCTGACAAGGTACCGCCGAAGCCAAGATAGAGCTGTCGTGGACGTATACAGTCGCTAAAAACTTGAATTTAAATGCAATAGTTCAAGACCAATTTGAACTAAAACCTCTGTCCTCTGTACACGCAAACACTCGAGCAAGAAATGTGAAGCTATTAGCATCAAACTCAATCATTTTAGATCTGCTGTCCCCTCTAGGAGTCCGTGGTGGGAATGGCTGCTTTGCAAACTGACATGTGCTGTCCTCTCTATGGGCATGTCTACCCTGTCAGGCTTGTCCTTGTTTATTTACTTGCCTTAGCACACATATACTCCCTTATTCACGCCCCCCAAAATCCCCATCAGTGCCAAACACTGACGACTCTGGGACTCTGCACAGCACGCCCATGTCAGCACGGACCTGGCCAGTAGAGACAGAACCCTCATTTGTAAAGGCAAAGTGAGCCCATTCACACCCGGATCCGTTCTCACATCATTTAGCCGTAGTGGCCGCACACACATTACGTTTTCAAGCCTGACACTTTTTCAAAGCAACTCAAAGTTGCTCAAAGCAGGATACTATAAATGTCACCTGTAAAAACAAATCAGATGCTTTTAGAACTGCAGTTTAAGATAGTAGCAAAGAATGTGACAAGACATTTAGAGACAAAAAAGCTATCATCAGATTCAACAGCCATGCCACTTTTCATTCTTTAGATCAACAGAGCAACGGTTGTCTCACGCATCAGTCCCCTATTGCTATTTGGCTCCATTATAATAGGTTCACACTCACAGACATTCCTGCCACGCGATCTGGTCTGCCTGCCACCAGGCCACCCTCCTTCACACACACACAAAGACACACCACTTTGTTCCAGACATCTCGAAAGAAAAAGACACCACAGTACAGGGAGTGAGTGTGTCATTCTATTACGTTCATTACGTTCATTCATTACGAATGATCTTCTACTTGCATCGGACCAAGGACTCATCTCTTTTCTTGTCTTGCTGGACCTCAGTGCCGCATTTGATACCATAGACCATTGTATCCTGTTGCAGAGACTAGAACTTTTAATTGGTATCAAAGGAACTGCACTCAGCTGGTTTAAATCCTACTTATCGGACCGATCCCAGTTTGTGCTAGTAAACGGTGAATCCTCAAAGACCACCAATGTTGGTCACGGAGTCCCACAAAGTTCTGTACTTGGACCGATTTTATTTACCCTCTATATGCTTCCTTTGGGCGGTCTTATTAGGAAACACCGCATAAACTTCCATTGTTATGCAGACGATACTCAACTGTATCTGTCGATCAAGCCAGAAGAGACGGACCAGCTAGTTAGACTTCAAGAATGTCTTGGAGACATCAAAACTTGGATGACCGGCAACTTCCTGATGCTAAACTCAGAAAAAGTTATCCTGATAGGCCCAGAGCGCCTTCGAAGCCAGCTGTCACGTGATACAGTTTTTATGGATGGAATTGCTCTGGTACCCAGCAGCACTGTCCGGAATCTGGGAGTTCTCTTCGACCAGGATATGACCTTCAACTCGCATATAAAGAAGACTTCAAGGACTGCCTATTTTCATCTACGTAACATATCAAAAATCAGGAACTTCCTGTCTCAAAGTGATGCAAAAAATTAGTTCATGCGTTTGTCATTTCCAGACTGGACTACTGTAATTCTCTGTTATCAGGCTGCTCTTGTAAATCTCTTAAGCCTCTCCAGTTGATTCAGAATGCTGCAGCACGTATATTAACAAGAACTAAGAAAAGGGATCATATCACTCCTGTATTAACTTCTCTGCACTGGCTCCCAGTGCAGTCCCAATAGATTTTAAGGTACTTCTCCTCACCTACAAGGCACTTGCTGGTGAGGCACCGTTGTATCTTAAAGAGCTTGTAACACCTTATTGCCCTACAAGGCAGCTGCGCTCCATAGATACTGGGTTACTTGTTGTTCCTATGGTTTTAAAAAGTAGGCTGGGGGCCAGAGCCTTCAGTTATCAAGCTCCTCTTTTGTGGAACCAGGTTCCACTTTCAGTCCGGGGGGCAGATTCGGTCAGCTCTTTTAAAGTAAAACTTAAAACTTTCCTCTTTGATTCTGCCTATAGTTAGGGCTGGCTCAGGTCAGCCCGGACCAGCCCTTAGTTAAGCTGCTATAGGCTTAGAATGCCGGGGGAATTCTTAAGACACACCGAGCTCCTCTCTCACGCTCTCGTTCTACCATAATTCACGTTTTATTAATGCACATCACTAATTCAGCTTCTTTCCGGGAGTTTTTTTTGTGCTTTCTCCCCTAGCAGGTCTCCGTAGATCGTGGTTCCTTCGGGACCCTGGTCCTGACACCTACCGTCGCCATGCTGACGCCTGCTGCTGCCATCATCATCATCATTATTATTTTAGATATTAATCATATTACTGTACTCGTAAACCAACATTACCCTCTCCTAAAGTCTCGGTGCTCTCCCTCCCCACAGGCTTCTGTGGATGGTGGTTCTATCTGATGGTGGTTCTATCTGATGGTGGTTCTACCTGATGGTGGTTCTATCTGATGGTGGTTGTCCCTGCAGTGGTCCTGCTGTGCGCCTGGCTTACTACTCACAATTACTTGAATCATTTCTGTCTTAGGAATTGCATGTATTATACATTGTTCATTCTGTACACATGGCATCCATTGTAGTCTGTCCATCCCGGGAGTGGGATCCCTCCTCTGACGTTCTCCCTAAGGTTTCTTCCCTTTTTTCCCTCTTGGAAGGGTTTTTTCATTTTTTGGGGAGTTTTTCCTGTGCCGATGGTGGGTTTCGGGACAGAGGATGTCGTATGTGTACAGACTGTAAAGCCCTCTGAGGCAAATTTGTAATTTGCGATTATGGGCTATACAAAATAAAATGAATTGAATTGAATTCTCATTTGCTGTATGGGTCATGGGATGGTACGAGGGGCCGAGCTCTAGTGTGTGTGTCTGTTTTTCACTTGGAAGGTGCTGCAGTTGCAACAAACCTTAAAGTATAGTATTCTGCTTAATATGTCAGATATGATCATACATGACAAGAGCCTGAAAACGTCTTTTCCATTCGATAGATACTGTCAAGATGATTCATTACAAAAAGAAGATATTTGGTGTCTCTAAAAAACAGCAACTTGACAAAAAGATAATAGAACAAAAGATTGTTCAATCAATAGAGACTAGAGAAACGGATTTACACATTGATTATTAATAAATATAAATAGCTGCAGGGCTAGATGTGTTTCCAGGAAGGCCTTTGTACTCACGGAGCTCATCGAAGTGCGTCTCCATGCCGTCGGCGCCTGGCACAGAGCAGATGAGCCTGGCCTTCAGGAAGGTGCTCCACTTGTTGACCAGACAGCAGTGGCCTCCATCATCATTCTGTATTTGAGAGGGTAACGGGCGACACACAACAGTTTCTCCATCACTCGCTCAAAGTCACATCCTCCTCTGTCTCCTCAAAAAAAACAACCAGGTGGAGCCACCCACACACGCTATACTGTACTTGTGTAGTGAGACGGTAAACAGCGTCTCCTCCTATTGAGACTATTCCATCTGTGGTGGAGAGATGCCAGAATCTATCCCAGTAAGAAAGAGCGGAGACCAGTATGTGCTTTGGATTCCTCTTCCATAACTAGCATCTTTAGAGGACGCATGTATATTTCAACATTTGACTTTAGAGGGTGGATCTACGCTTCACATTAGTCACGCACTTCTGATGATTCGCATTTTGGGGAGTAAAATGTCTTCCAGGGTAATTTACAGTATACAGCTGCGTATTACTGGTGGCGCCCAGGGTGCAGTGAGTGGCAGTAAGAGTATCCAGATGTCTGGCAAAATAAGAATGACACAGGCCCAGCAGAGCCCACTGAGAGGGGGATGAGTGTTTGTGTGCCGGGTCAGCACCTGACCCCCTCAAATAATTACAATGGTGGAACAGCTGAGACGATGAGCACACGTACGCCACATTTTCTCACTTGTAACCGTGCTCATATACCCAGGGCAACCCTCACGTACGCACGCGATTCCATAAAGGAACGCATACACTCACACGTATGGCCACTATGAAACACCCCATGAGCTTTCCAGAGCCATTTGTTGTTGTTCATTTTGTATTTGTAAGGCACACAGGCTTTAGTGGAGGAAGTATAGTTAACTGAAAAATACTCTAAAAGAGAGTATTTTGTTGTACCATGTACACTTAAAGCTTCAAGTGTTTTAGGACTATAGGGGAGATGAGGTCAGAAGATCACAGGGTCAGAGGTCAGACAGTAACCTCCCAGACAGAGGGATGCATTGTAGACAGGAAGGTTAAAGACACATGTGGATTCCAGCATGTCAGCGTTGGCCAAACACTGGTTTTCCTCGGAAGCCTACAGCCTGCTTTTCATATTGTTGCAGGTTTTCTTTTTACACCCAAAAACAAACACACTCCTGACTGTGTACACACCAGGCAGATGCGTCCTATACGCGACTGGGTCACGGGACTATGGCCCATCTCAGAGGACTTCTCCCGGAAGAAGAAATACAGCTTGTCGTCATTTCTCTCTGCGCTGTCGGGGATGAGCTGAACGTGAATGAAAGTGGGGTCTGTGGGGAGAAGAGGTGGCGATGTTCAGGCAGATGATGAATTTGGGGAAACATCTGGCTCAAATCTTTTGTAAACTCTCCGTATTTCCTGTTTTTGGTGATGGATTCTAAACACATGCAAAAAACTGAATCTTTTCACTTCAGCTCTTCATATAGAACCCTGTTTGGACATTGCAGGAAGGCTTCACAAGCTGGATAGCGGCCCTGAGTATCTTTTATAGGCTAGATAGGTCATTTACCATTCAACCATCTGGAGTTGTACTGATCTGTTCGCATGGCGGTCTTTGTCCCCAAAGTACGGAAAATGGCAGAATCTGTCCCCATAAAGTCAACATAGACTCCAGCATATAGTTCACCATCTGAGAAAGAGAGAAAACAGTTTAGCAGACATTCACAAAGTCGAAATTCCAGCATCACCCTTGGCACAAAACGCCATGGCTTTTGTTTTAAAATGTATTCCTTTTTTTCCAAAATTATGTAAAATGTGGAAAAAATGTTTTAAAAACAAACTCATGAAGCATATTGTATTAGTTTGTGACGTTTCTGAAAGAGACAAAGTAATTTGTTATTAATTACTGGGCCACTGGAAGCGTTCACTTGAAGTTTCAATATTTGCTAATCCTGCCTCCTTTGGTTAGCGCTATGCATGTCAGGCTTTATATTCTGACACCTAAATCACTGACTAATCGATAACTATAACCATCTGTAGCTAGCTAGTGTAAGCTAACTTCAACACTAAAAGTACAGAGGTTGCTTCAAAAAAGTCTTGAATCTGCCCAAATGGACGACAAAATTCCCCTTGCCTTTGGAAATAAATATTATTCTTCCCAGAAACCACTAAGAATTTATGGGACATATAGAAAATAAAGTGTTACCAAAACCAATGCTCAAATCTCCCCAAACAGCCTTCGCACGCACTCCATGAAGACATAAAATATGAGCACATACATGTGTGCAAACTGACAAATGAATACAAAGGCCTTGTTAAGCCACAGGAAGTTAAGGTGTTGGTCCTCCAGCTGCTGTAGGGGCCCCACCGGACAGCAGGTGTGACTATCAGCAGGAGGTGGAGCGGAGGAAACAAGAAACACGTCCTACCACCATTACATTCAATGTCATGGTCCTCACAAGCACGATATGAAGATTTATGATGGATCGTTAAAAATGTCCGCGGATGACGGGCGGTCTAATGTGGTGGAGAGCTGAGCAGTCAGTGGCCAATGCTAGACGTGCTGTTGATGTACAGGGTACCTAATACTTGTTATAATACGGGTAGATGAAATTAAGCATTCTGATCAGAAAAAAAGTCCAAGAAGTCAGAAAATATTAGGTCAAACATTGTTTTGATAAAAAATCCCCAAAATATTAGGTCCAAAAATCTAGATATATAATAGTACTGTACACCTGTTTACATCGACCTGGGCGTTCCATATCAGTGCGAACGCAAAAAAACAGGTCGATTTTGCACGACAGTTAGTTGTGATTTCAAGCTTCACAGTTACCTAAAAATGATCGTGTAATGTTTTCAGGTGATTTAACGGTGTAAAGATGCTAATGTAGGAAAGCATCGCCAGTGATTTACACCCGCTGCCTCTCCCCACAGAGAGATCGTCTTTCATTGGTGGCAACTGTGTGGTCTAGAGCTGTGACCTTGGGCAAGGAGACAGAGGACATTGCCTTCGTGAATAGAACACACCCACATTATGACACTGACACAAGATGTAGGACCACTATGAGCCTACAGTAATGCTTCAATGCTCCTTGGCATTGATATTCCACCTAAAGGGATGAACATCCTCCAAAAAAGTACTGTCATTTGTCATTTTTTTTCCACAATGCCTTCATACCCATCAGGCCATCCACTGACCCTTTGTCCACTCAAGGGAAGAGTCTGCATTCATTATTCCTTTATACGTCTCTTTCGCATTTGTCACCCATCTATAAATATAATGCTAAACTATGTAAGTACATGCCAGTTTGACTATTAAAACATGTGCAAATACTTGAGGCCCTGTTGGAAATAAAACTATGCACATGGGGAATAAAGAATAAAGGTAATTTTACTCTTCAAATGTTGACAAAAGCACTAAAATTCTTTCCAAACATATTCATTAAAAATATAAGTATTTTGATTGGAAGCCAGTAATTCCCAGAGGAGAGATTCACATATTAAAGGCACATATTAATTTGCCCATCTCTGCCCTAACAAGAAAACATTCCGGAGGATATAATGATTATACTGATTTGTTTTAGCAGCTCACTGTGGGGAATAAGCGCTGAATGGCACTCAGCCTGAACTTCTTCCTCAATGGCAGACAGTAAATATCTGCTGTTAGCAAAGTATATAACCCGTGAGCAGGGAGAAACCACTATGAAGAAACATGAGATAAAAGATAAACAATCCACATGGGAAGACACTGCCATTGCCATGAAGACCGCTGGGTCTCTCTATACCCGTGCCCTCATGTGACCAAACCCAGAAGATACTCACTGATTAAGGCTGACACGCTATTGAGATTTGGGTCATAGGAGCACTTTCCTTTCCCAGATTCAACTCTGCCCGGATCCAAACGAAAGATTTCTTCCTGAAATGGAAAAATCATATAAAGATGCCATTAAAATCAGTACTCTTCATCTTGTCATTGGGATTCCCCTGTGCAGGGACAATGAGGCTGGAAATGTTCCCCCTCTGACTCCTGTGGGACCTATACGGCCTGATGGGGGATGAAGTATTAGAAAAATGAGCGTGCGCTCGAAAAACACACTGGTCGGGAAAGCAAGGAATTTTCTAATGCATCATCACGCTGCGCTTCTATGGAAAACAATTTGTTGTGGGCTGCTTCTCTTGGCATAATAAACTGCATGCCAAATATCTCTTAGCTTCATGTAGCTATGGCTGTGCAGGCCTACCGCTGACACCTATAATCCAGCACAGAGGCAACAATCCTGGGATGGTGGCTGGATGACTGATGCTCACACCCCTGCATGCACACAACAGACGTTGGCGCTGGAGAAGTTGGCGGGGAATTTGTGTATGGGAGCGGGGCGGTGAATCAGTTGCATGCGATGACTTGTCCTGTTGCCATGCCTCACAGACCAATCCTCCTTTTAACCCATAATGTGTATGGAGACATCTCTATCAATGTGCGTCGGGGGAGAGGATATGGCACTGTGCCACGCTCACTTCATTGGATCATGAGCGGCCTTGGGTAATTCTCATCATTTATTGAAAGATCTCGTAAAAGATCACCCACTTGTACAACTTAAGAGGTGCTGGCAGCACACTCCCAGCCATGCCAGATGTTGACTTGCAAAAAGGTCGCAAACATTTATGCGCACCAGAGGGAATCAGTGGACTCACCATGGTTTTACAACCCTGCTGTAAAATACGACCCTCCAACAAAATTTGCAACATATTTTAAAATCAAATTTGAACCAAAAACAACAACGTTTTAAAAACATTTTTAAATGGCCACACTTTATGCCTACACAACTCAATCTCTGTTTTTCAAAGTGCTTGAAGAGCTTAAACAGCGGAGACGTGTTTGAATGTGGGGCACTTTTAATTCCTCTGCTGCACAGCTAGTTGGCTACAGATGGCTGGTGTTTGCTCTGCGCTAACAAAGCCCGTGTGGGAGTGGGTCAAATCAGATGCTGACTAGTCCTGCCGCCTCTGTGGGAGAGACTGCACCACATTCCTACAGGAGGTGGAGGGCTTGCTGCGGTAAAGCCTGATGGGTGGGACACCCTGCATTGTCTCAGATAAGCGGGATGAATGACTCGCTTATCTGTTGTTCGTGCGCACTCGTAGATATATACTGAATTAAAATGAATATGCCATGCATTGAACAGCAGTGAAAGCATTTTTAATTGAATTTGAGCCGAGCAAAAGTCAACAGCAACCGGATGAGCCATTTCCACTTGAAAATCACGCTCTCATGCAAAACATGGCATTTAACACCAATGCAAAGAACAAATGGACAATGACGGATACGGAAAAGGTTGCTCAGGCGATGACGGTTACACAAAGACAAGGGTATGAGACAAAATGAGATGACATTAAACGCAGTCCCACATAACACAATACTTTAAGATTGTGCGTGACTAGAAAAGATGCCTGCCAATTGTTACTGAGATTAACAAATGGTGGCGAGTCAAGGACAGTGATGGTGAGAAAATGTCCACGGACACAAAGACAGGGAGCATGCTGCTGGTGACCACGAGCCCAGGCAGTCTGCAGGGCTGCGGTGCAGACAAGGCCCACATCGCACCTTGAGTCCAAGTGTCTCGTGCACCGCGCTGGGTTCAGCTGCGCGGCTAGCCCTTCCTCTGGCCTGGGCCATCTGCAGATACATGGACGTCTAAAAACAGGAGACAGTAGCACAGTCTGGATGTTACGCCATGGAAGAGGAAGGCCTCTCTAACCTCAACCTGAATCCGCCCTGACTTCAATGCAGAGTGAGAAATTCCACGAACTAATGCTACTGAAAAGAATATGAAATTCCATGAAGAAAACACATGGACGTGTGTGTATGCAAGATTGTGCAGGGAACATGTGCAGCTTTATTTGACCAGATGGTTCCCTATCCTGTGGTTGAGTCAATAAAGGTTCTCACAGTATGGTACATACATTCGCCTAAAAGCTGCTGCCAAAGCAAAACGTTTGGCTTTGACCGTGAACAAAAGCTACAAGGCTCCTTCTTTCGGCACTGGGGAACATGACAATACGTCCTGCAGTGAGGTATAATCAAATGGCAACAATCAGTATGAAAATTGAATAAAAACAACAAAAATATTTCCATATGTGTATCAGAATTTGTAAGCGCACACGTTGGTGTGGAGTGTCATATTATAATTTTGCAATCACTGTGAACTACCCAGCCTAACAGAGAAAAGCAGTCATGGGGGGAGTCAGACCTGTCCACACGATGTGACGGAGAAAGAAACAGCCCTCTCGTTAATGGACTAGAACTGGAACATTCCACTGGCACTACATAATGGGAGCTCCCACTTCCAATTACCCAAAGTCGCACATGGTAGAGGCTGGCGGGTGGCCTGGATGCATGAGGGGCTGGACGGATAGGTGAGGGAATGGATGGAAGCCCTTCGTTAGTGACGGGTCATGTAGGAGCCGCATACAGCAGGGGACTCCTGCAAATGACGCTTGCCATTGAAACGTTTTTCCCCCGTATTGTATGTCTCTAGAGAGATTCCAATGGGAAATTTACTTTTTATTTATCCCCTTTTAAAAACTCCCTTGGTCATCATTAGGGAACAAGTGTGATATTTAAGAAGAGTGTGGTGTTAAAGGGGAGTAACGCGAGGTGGCGATGCCTGGCTTGGTTTAGGAAATTCAAGAGATCCCACTAAAAGCCAGAGACTAAACAGAGTAGCGTTAACAGCTCACTGGGGATGACAGCTGGGCGATAGTGAGGCTGCTTTGCCAGACGCGGAGACATGGTACCTCAAGCAGGCTTAATGATGGAGGACAATCGTAATGGGAACCTAGCGTAAGGTGGATGGAGAGCAGGAACTCGGGTAAGAGGAACAAAAAACAGAGGAACCACGATATGCCGTTGACGATGCAGATGGGGAGAGCGGTTTTAATTTTGCTGGTTTGTTCTTCTTTGATAGAACCTTCTCAGTTCGTAGTTTATTATCCTAACCTGAGGTTTGCGCCCGCGGTTGACAAAGGTACAGACTGGATTGTAGGCTCCTGTCCCACAGATGTAGAGCTGAGTCCGGTTCCATGGCTCCACCAGACGGATAAAGTTTGCACACTCCTCCTGGAGACACAAAGACAAGAGTCAATTGAGTGGCTGAAAACCGGTAATACTAAAAGTAAATCAAACCACCACTGCGAATCTGCCAGTGATGTTGTGCTAACCACCCTGGCCTGGCAGAGAGGAGGATGGAGAGAGATTCAATCCATTCGAGTCTCCTTGGCGAGACAGAGGGGAACTAGGACTTTTACTGAGCCAATTTTAAACCTTGCAGTTTTACAGATCCCTTTACAGCTACATACTTTCTCTTTTTTAGCCCATCAAGTTGACGTAAATCACCTGAGCTGAACAACCCTGCTGGGCTTATGAGCACTGTTAATAGGCATACTTACATTGGCGTCCTTCCCACTCACAAGGCACTCCATCCTTCGTCGTTCGGACACCGGCCAGTGGATCTGTGAAGGCGGAAAAGAGAACATTTAATGTTACAATTAAACCGATTTTCAGTTCAGTGGCTTTTATGAGCTATTCTGGATAAAAATGGATATCCACACACGCTAATATCAATCCTGTCATAACCCAATTAAAACTAAACTAAAGGTGAGCAAACCAACATGTCCGATGCTGCACTCCTGGAACACAACGTTTTGCCCTTGTGGCAGCTGTTGTGGTATTGAGGTCAAGGCGCTTCATCACAGCGTAACAGAGGTAAGGGGAGGCGGGGTAGGGACATGGTCTTACAATATGCGGTTCCTTGTTGATGTCATGGAGGTCCAAGGACAGGATGTGGTCCTTGCTTCCAACGTACATGCGGTCATGGTCCTCGTCCATACGTAGGATCCGGTAGTCAGACGTGTTGAGGAGGTAGGCGAAGTGATGAGCAGTACCAGTAGATCGCAGCTCTGTGACGACACACAAATATACCCATTAATGACAGCTGTGGTTCACATGCACATTTTCACACATGCACATGCATGCACAATTGGCACATTCCTCGTGCTGCTCCTACATATCCCACGTGGAGTTAGCTCATGGTTTTCCACCATCACTACTGTAACTTAACACCGCACATTAGAGACAAGTGCTACTGAGTATCTGTCACACTGTTGATGGCTTAATACGGCCCGAGTGGATGACTTTGTGGATCTACAAAGTCATCGATTGGCTGTCTGTTATTACAACTCAACAAAAGATAGACAAGGTAGACTGACAGCTAGATATGATCACCACAGATTACCCCAAATATAGAGTAGGGTAAGGAGGATATACATTTACAGAGTTTAGGTTTAAACTGCTTCATCCCTTTTTGGACCCTGCACTTTGAAAGTCGCTGCCTTTGGTAACACAATGCAGTTGGCAAGTCCTCTCTTGTCCAGGGTAACCCAATCTCCCTATAGCTCTGTGTTGGAGTGTTTGTTTGATATATTCTCCTTGGTTCAGCAACCACGTACAAACAGGGCAGGGAGGCCACTGCTAAGACAGCAGAGGCCCCATGCCACACGGTAGACAAACACACACTCCTACGCAATCTATAGGGTAGAGGCATTGGAAGGTGGCCATCACATATTCTTGGACAAACACAAAAGTTCACTCAAACAGCAGAAACGTCCCATTTCACTGTTTGACTTTATTTTATAACCAACAGACCACAAAAAGGTGAAACAGGGAACCACACTGAGGTTTAGCAGCCAAAAATGTGGTGAAGGGAAACCAGATGATAAACTGCCAGATACAGTTTACTTTGTTTCACTATTTACGAATAGTACGTCAGAACTGAGGTGTGCCTGTGTATAATAAATGAAGGCCATGTGAAATGTAGTCAATGTGGGGCGTCCAACCTTAGAAAGCGACGCCCAAAAATAAGAATCATCTCAAAATTGAAAATGTTTTTGCCAGTTGATTAATAAGACACGCATTTGTAAGCAGTCATGCTCAGTATGTTGAATGAAGTTCCTGAGAAACATTCCTGTGAGGCTGTTAGGTGGTGCTGCGGAAGAGGCCTGGACACCAAGGCATGCAAGGCAATCAACATGTCCACCATTGGGCCTTAAAATAAACACCATCTCAAGACCTTTTCAAACACACTCCCTACTGGATCTGATACTACCAGTCCTTCATGCCAGATCTAAATTTAACACTGGGTTACTTCAATAAGCAAAGATTAATGGCATTAGACTTGTTATATTGGGAGAGTTTGACTTGATAACTGTGCCCACCAAAGATGTTTACGGAGCAGCAAGGTGATTGACAGATGTCAGAGCCCATGGCAGAGGAGATACAACATGTGGCCTGATCTGGTGATTATTTTTGTTGGAGACTTAAGTTGAATGATCAGTGCCCATACACGCTAGCTGTGTTTATGTGTGTGTGCCGATAGAGTGAAACACACTGGTTAGATTTGCATTGTACACACACGCACACACACATTCCGAGGGCCAGTCGAAGCCCTTCCTGAAGCAGCTTGTCAGCAACTCCTCAGTGTGTGTGTTTGTTTGTTGTCAGAGAGTAGCAGGATGGGACCATCAATCAGCTGACAAGGGAAGGTGAGCAATACAGCGCGACAACAGCCCAAATACAGAATCAAACATGAAATAAAGAGCATTCACATGCGCAATCTAATCTCATAATCGTGCAATATAATATGTAATCCATACAATACAATCCCTAATCCAGTAAAATCTCTACCCTTCAATGAAATCCTGTTGTAATGTACACTACATCCCAGGGAGCTATGCCTAATAGATGACAATGTTTTTGGTGGTATCAAACCCTTCAGAAAACCTCGGCCGGTTGTTATGAAAGAATGAGTCACAGCTTAGTGATGCTGCAAGGCATTGAAGTCATGGCTGAAGGCTCAATACCATTAGGCCTTCTGATACTAGTTAAAACAAATTGTATTCCTGTTTCTGTTGCTATTCTGTTCCTGTTTCACTGGCACTTTTTGTAAAATAACCGAGAGGAGTGAACGTGAAGTCATGCATACTAAGAGAAAACTCGTTGATGCAACAGTTTTGGAGATTTGATTGTTGGGCCTCATCTGCAGGGCTGAGGTGTTGAAATCTTGAATCTAATCTAATCTAATCAAACACTGGTGACCCATTTCATACGGGACATAAATGCCTCTAATGTGAAACATGTATGCACTTTGGCTCAAATACCTTTAATCATGTGCATAATTGTTACCACATAAGCTCCACAAAGGCAATAAAATACAGGAAAATGGGCATATATGCTATCATAAAATTCGGTGGTTTCTTTGTCACACAACAACTGAACCACACCTTGGACACGGCTGTTTGGTCGACACCAGGGTTCAGCTTTCACACCAGCCCAAGTGAACTGCTAAATGTGCAAATTTTTGTTTAAATCAAACCAAAGATACAAGGAGGACAGACGAGGACTATATTATTAAGAAGGAACAAGGGAAAGAGTATAGCATTTGAAATGTGCAAAGTCTAGCTATTAGACATCATTCCCTTGTTTGACCGCCTTTCTCAGCTCAGGCCCAAAGTCAACCGTCGCCTCAGGCAGGGGCACATGGCATTGTGCTCCAATGAAATGTTGATAGAGGACGTTTAATGGCAGCGGTCTGAGCTCGGCTGCTACACTGCCCTGGGGGTCGGGCCGGCTGTGAAAACAAGACCAGCCGGTCCCTGCACTGAGGCCGGTGGCAGGCAAACACACGCTCACAACCAGCTTGGAAAGGCGCAGCAGCGCACACCAGATCGATGGTGTGTGGTCTCGGCGATGCCGAGTGCAGAGGAGTTTGTACGTTTGCGTTGAGAGCATGTGGCTATTCCCCTTTGCTACATTAATAACAAATTAACAAACAAGTTTCAAATGAACAACAACTTTAGTTAAATCAGCAAAGACATCCCATATAAAATAGGCACGCTCAATCCACTGTTTTGTTCTGTAACATGCAACTACACATTCTCAGTAGCAGATTACAATTTTGAACAGGAAAGGCTCAGAGTGGCTTTTGCTCTTTGTCATCCACATTAGGGCATGACAGTGTTTTCCATACACACAGACTTATCCTGGAGATTTAGAAGCCAGGAGCTGGTGTGTCTATTAGAGCCAGATAAACTTTCCAAGTAGCCCATTACTCCGTGTACGGTTTGGGTTCGCTCTGGGGGGTCTGCACGCGCACAGCGAGGGCTTTGTTTCTGGAACTCACCGCTTCCCCCTGAGGAATGGCAATGGCTCTATTAGAGGTGAAAGTAAGCCGGTCAAGGAACCTGATCCTAGCACTCAACGTCTCACCCTGTACATATTCACTTCCTTCTCTACGCTAGGGCGCCATGCGCCTGCAAAGAAATAAGAAGTCTGTATATGACAGGGGTTTTTTTCTTCTCGTTCTCAAGCCTTCATGTACTCGAGAAGTGTATGTGCACGGAAATGTTAAGCAATTACAGATGAGAGAACTCGGATTCCACACACTCTTCTCAGTCGGCTGGACGCAGACAGTCCTCACCTGTCTCCCAGCATCCCACGGTGCTGCTGGCTGACACAGGACACACCGCCGGGTCCCACATCTCAACATACTAATCTTGCGTTTTGACATTTGAGAACAAACTGTAGTTTAATGTCAGTCGGGCAAAATCCGAGCCAACTCGTGTAAAGAGCTTCATTTGTGTTGTGAGACTACGAGGCCTCAAAACGTCTCAAATGCATAATCACAACCACCTCAAAAGCTTAAATTATGTTTTAATGTACATAAAAAACGAAATGCCGTTTATGGAGCAGGGACGTCCTTCCAGAGGCGGACAAGCCAGAAGTAAAAGAAGGAGCCAAAGAGAGAAAAGTACACAGATGTTTTTTTTAATCTATTGGCCGATATATCATTTTCATTGCATTCATTAGACTATAAAATAGAAAACCGCTTGATGTAAGCACTCAAGGTCTTCATTTGCTGTAACTTGTGGTTTGGATAATTCCCACACTATCTTCCTTAATGCATGTTTGCACACTTGCGCTAGTAGGCGGGTTTCTTCCTGACCTCTGGTACAGTGGTTGTACTGGGAAGCCCTGCATGAGTCCTGCCATCCGTTTGCAGCCCCTGTAGAAGACCAGTATATTTGTCAACTTGACATTGTTATTATTTAAATGAGGTATGGAGACAAAGAGGAGAGGCATGCCTCACTGTCAGAATGAGCCAGCCCTCCTCCTCCTCCGGAGAGAATACTTGGCTGCTGACGCTGATCTCTGGGGCTGCAGCCCTACATGTTATAGCACATCGCTCCATCTTCAATTAGTAGCCAACAGGCCGAGTTTACGTTGGAAATACGTTTGGACAGGAAAAGTTCCCTGGCATGCTGTTCACTCTTAAAATCACATCTCAAGAAAAAAAGAAAAGCACACTGGTGAAGCTGTCTTCAGATATGGTTTCCCACCACGCTGTCACACAAGGGAGAAAAGAGACTGGATTTTATAGATCATATTCAGCTGTTAATGCATCCTACTCTGCCAGTAACATCAGAACTTCCTCTTATTAAGGAACGATTACTGCATCCAGCGTGACTTAACAGTACACAGACCACCCCACTTTCCTGGCAGGTTTGCAAGAATCATCGAGTAAGTGATTGGATCATGGAAAAACTCCAGACTGCGTGTTTAAACGAAACACAGGAGAGAGAAGGGCAGTGAATACACACCCTGGCACCTGACAGCGCAGCGTGCTCGCTGAATGACACTGATATGGGTGTTCCACAACGCCGCATATTTCTCTGCCTTCAAATTGGCTAAATTAAAGTGCCAATGACAGTGCAGAGCATGTTGCTGCTTGGAGCCTGCACTTCTCCCTCTGAGAGCTCCCGGGGGTGAAGAGGATGGGGGATGGCGATTGGAAAGAGACAAAGGTTGTGTGGTCTGCTGCTTTGACACTGGACGATGAGCAATG